CCCCCCCCCCCCCACACCCCCGCCCCGCTCGTTTTAGACTGCAAACTCCCCACTCTTTTGAGCCGCGAAGACATGAATAAAGACGTCTTCATCAACACACACACACACATAAGAGAAAGCCACACGAAAACGCTTCAGGGGGGTTACAAGCGAAAGGAACAAACAAATTATGAGTGACTTGGAAGATTTGCAAATGGGCAGGGCTGCCCCCCACAACCCCCCCGCTAAGACATAAATAAAGATGTCGTCTCCAACACAGACACACACACAGGAGAGCCACGTGAGAAAACGGAACAGGGGGGTTCAAAGCGAAGAAAATAAAAATCAATCTAGACTAGGTTACTACTATAACAACTACTTAGTGTAATAGTAGCAGGAATACTACTGTCGACGTCGCCCCTTCCGCCCTAAGTCGAAGCCTCCCACCCACCCCCCCCCGCCCCCCCCCTCCATCCCTTTTCCTGAATAGGACCCACCCCCTACTCAACATCAATGTCCCGAGGATTTGGGTTTGCACCCGCACCCTTGCCTAGGAAAGCGAGTTCGGGAGCACGAACATTTCGAAGCCACGTCCACGCTTCTTGACCCACAAACCGCTAGGCCCTCGCAACTTGTCTCGAAAGTTTTTGGCCCTGCGTGCTCGGTTAGACTGGTCAGCCTTCCTAACACCATCGTGCACAAACTTAAGTAGGGTGCCAAGTTTTCAATGGAAAGGTCGTTGAATCGGGACTTGAAGATCTCCAAAATGGAACGTGCCTCATTGTCAAGCTCTTCAGCCCCCTCACGGAGAATGCAGTGGAAACCTGCACCCTGAATGCGGCACCAAACGGCAGGAGCATTAGGAAAATGAAGATGAGTGAGAGGAGAGATGAAGCGAAGAAAGGCATGAAAATGAGAGAGGTTCAGCGGTCGGCACCATCCAGGCACAGGTGAGGCACTAAAGCTCCTAAGAAAAACAAACCCTAAGACACAGCCTAAACCAACGGCTCCGGCCAGGACAGTGCTGCCAGCGTGACTGCGAGCTACAGGTTTTTTTCTTTTTCTGTCTTTCCAGGGGCATCTACATGAAACCTGCCAGGAGGCGCCAACGCTTCAGCGAGCAGCAGCTCCACGACGCAAAACTAAAGAACCATTCTAAAAGCCGAAGCCATCAACTGCCATTCGCAAAAAAACAAGGCTAAGTCCCTTATTGCGTCATTGCAGCGGTCGTCCACCGACCTTGCGTGCCAAAGCCCCAGCAAGACGCATGCCAAGCTTCTCACCGCCCTGCTTCGCGAAGAAGAGCTGCAGAGTCGGAAGGTAGGCCGTGAGCGGGCTGGCCACGTGTGCTTTGAATTCCATGATCATGAAGGTCTTCTTGGCTTTGAGGCGTGCCGTACACAAAGAAACTTCGCGAGCCACGTTGGCCATGTCGCTCGAGAGCATAGCATCCAGTAACACCCGAATGGGTTCCGGACATTCATCATCCTTGCAGAGCTCCGCCAAGACAGCTGCAGTGCTGCACGCCCCATAAGGGTGTGCCACTCCTGCCTTCGACTCCTCGACACGGTAGACGACTGTGGAGGAGGCCTGCAACTGGCGGAGCTGGTAATCGTGGTCCAGGTACCCCCGCGTCAGCTCAGCACAACTGAGGGGCTGCACCTGCACATGCTGTCGAGAGGGCGCAGCGCCTGCGGAGGTGGCCTCAAACGTCTGCTTGTCTTTGGACTTCTTGTTAGCCGGGCTCGACTCTTTCACCACCGCGAGGGACTGCAAGAAAGGGTTAAGAAAGCTGGTCTCACAAAGCGTACTGAAAGAGGACCCGCACCAGGCCTCACGAGCCTGTCGGGCCTGCAGACCCAGGAAAGGCCCCTCCAGCCCTAGAGACTGCGGACGGCCGCTCCAGGCTCAGAGGCACTTGCACACTGACGTCGAAGCGTAAAGCAAATGCAAGCGGCATCACTCTCTGACGTGTCAGCGCAGCCACATGCCCTGCAGACGTGTGGTCGCACCACAAGGGTACGAGCTGCCGCACGCTTGGGCTGTGCGGGTGCAGGAGCGGCCCGCGGGCCATCACGCAATTTTGAAGGTGAGTAGTGAGGGCCCTTTTGCGCCCAAACTCCTTGCCGCAGTGGGAGCACTTCCAAACTCGGTCACCAGCAGCATGCTTCTGAGAGATGTGTCGCCTCAACCCCTGAGTGTTCCGAGCCACGTACTCGCAATCAGGGCAGCAAAACGAGTTGCCTTGAGCCTCATGAGCTGCGAGTGCGCCCTGGAAACAAGAAGTACCTGTCGTCGTCGTTCACACCGCGAACTTGTGGAGCAACCTCAAGCTGCTCAACCAGGCGAGACCAGCGCTGCCGATCCTGTGCAGTGACGGGCCATGTGCGCTCGTCGACACCAGGCAGCTGTTGCAAAAGCGCCTTGGCACGTGATACAAAGCTGTGGTGGCCTCCGCTAGAGAAGGAGCGACCAGCAGGGACGCCAAACATGGCAGCGTGTGGATGCCTGTCAGGAGACACACGCGCGACATGTCCCATTCACATGGCAAGACGCTGTTGCAGAAGCGTGAGCAAGCTAGGCACGCCGAGCATGTGAAGCATTTGAGCATGTGTGTAACGCACTTCGGTGTTAGGGTCAAAGGTGATGCACAGGCATCTACGGACGAAGGACATGTACGCTCTGGAGTTGCCGTATAAGCCCCGCCGAGAGTGTCCAGCACTGTGATCCATACAGGAGAACGGGTATAACGCAAGCCGTGAACAATCGCGGGTAGCTCGTGAGATCTGGCGAGATTTCCACACATGAGTGAGTTGTCCAAAGGCAGCGTGCACTTGCCCGATGCGGCTGCCGACATCCAAGGATGTGCCAAGAGTGTAGTCTATTCCTAGCCATCCTCCCAGGTACTTAAAAAGCAACCCGTTCTAGGGAGAGCAATCCCATTATAGCATACAAGACCCTGGTGCCCGGCAGGGGGCTGCATCATCCGCTGCGGCGGCAGGCGGACCAGGGCCATGTATGGGTGGAGAGAGCGACGGGATCTCCTCCCACTCCGTCTTCACCTTGTTGGAAGCTTCCAAGGCAATCATCGAGGAGACTCGCCAGCTGAGAGAACCTGTTCCAGTCTGTGTCAAAGAGCAGGCTGTCATCAGCGCAGGTGGCTCCATGGAGTTGTACTGTTGTGTGCTTCGCTCTGCGGACCTTAGAAGGGAGACGAAAGATGGCATCTCTATTAGTCACCCATGGAACTCCAACAGGAGCAGGGAAACGAGTTGCACATCGGGCTCGAAAATCCGAGAGTAATATAACAAGTACAACGTGGGCCCCTCAACGGATCCTTGCCGTACGCCGGTGCTCATGTTGATCGGCGGTCCAACACGGCCCGAGTGGCAGTGAGAAGCGGTCATGCCCTCGTGAAGGCTTCGAAGCATGCCAATGACGAGTGAGGGAAGGTGAAGGCATCGGCTCAGCAGAGAAAACATCTCTTCCCTGGGCACGGCGTCAAAGTCTTTCTTCAGATCTACGAGAAGTAGAAATAAAGCATCTGGAGCGCCTGCAGCATCCGGGTTGCTGAATCTCCAAGACTCGAGTGCGCATCTGGCACAGAAGACGGCGCCGTCACTCCGCATCCTCGGCGGTAGCCTAGTCGCAGATGATCCCATTGTCGGAGGAGGAGGAGGTGTACGTCGTCGCCCGTGTCCGAGCATGATGTCGCCAGAAATAAAAGCATTGCAAACATGCAAAAAGGTCGGCCGTCCCTTGAAGAGGCCCTGCACGAAGAAGAACTTGCATGAGCTCAGGCAAAAAACAGGATGAAAACTGTTGACAGAGCATCCTGATGACAAACGAATTCCCAAAACCGCAGGAAGCATAAACTGTTGACAGAGCTTCCCCATGCACGGCAGTCTCAGGCCTCCGTAGCCTCTGGCCTTACGGGCCAAGCCACGCTGCGGGCGCACATCCAAGCGTTCGCCGCCTTGGGACAAGAGCAGCTGTGCAATAGTCGGCAACGCGGGCGTCAAAACACTGGCAAGATGCGCCCTAAACTCTAAAATAAGATGAGTCTTCTTGGCAGAAGCGCGCGCAGCGCACAAGCTGACCTCACGGGCAATGGTGGACATGTCCTTTTTCTTGAAGCCAAGGGGCGACAAGCTTGCAAAGCGCTTTATGCTCCCTATTATCCTCCTCAGCACCAGAGATGACAGTGCGAAGCAAAACGCAGGCCAACGCAGTGCTGCAGGCACCGAAAGGGTGCAGGTGCCCAGGGCGGTGCTTGTCTTGCCAGGTGCGCACAGCACCCAACATCAGCACGGAGAAGGCGCACTCGATGTCATACTTAAACACAAGTGTGCAGGAGGCATGCAGGTGGCGCAGCTGAGGTCTATAGAGATTGCTCAGCGCAGTGACCTCTGCCCGACCGGCCCGACCCGCGGGCTTCGGCAGCGGCTCACTAGATGACGGCTCGGCAGGCTTATCGCAGCCTTGGACTTCTTGCGCAGGGGGCTTTGACACGAGCTGTCGAGGGCGTGGAGAAAGGCGGCCATGGCAAGGCGCAGAGCTGTACAACAAGCGACTAAAACCCAAGACAACCGACTAAAAGCCTGAACCGAAAAAGCGGTGAAAGGTCTGTCGGGCCAGATCCGGGGAGGGCCTCCAAGCCCTCAAGAGGCGAGGCCGGCCTTCCCAGATACAAGGCACCCCGTGGAAAACATGGCGGAAACGAAGGGAACCGGGCCGGCGGGTGGGGCGAAAGGAAAAAAGTGGAGGGGAACTAAAAACTCAATCCTATCACAACCGTGCTGCAAGCGAGGGATGTCGAAACGACAGCGAGAGTGCCCAGCAGCTGTAAGAAGACAACCCTTGGCAAAACTGGTCGCAAGCATGGAGATGCGTCGTCGTCTAACTTGTCCTGGATGAAGGAAGCTGCTAGAGCGTCACACAGGCAGGTAACTGTACGAAGTTCTCGTTGGCTGAGAGCCAACTGCTCATCAAAGAAAAAGGACCCGCCGGAGCCAGGGTCAACACAGCACAGCGCCAAGGCAAGAAAACCCCCTAAACCACAAAACCAACAAACCCCGCCGGAGAAGGAGCCTACACACCTACAACCCTAACGTACTCATCCAGCAGTCGCCTGGCAGCGGGCAAGATCTATATCATTAAATGCTAGGCGAATCAAAAGGTCGCCTGGACCAAATGAGTGGCTTTGTCCATCAAGCACAAGGACAAGAACTTTGGAATCATAAAAGGCGGCAAAACCCGAAATACACAGTTCATCGCCATAGTGTCCCGGAACAGACATGTTGCGAACATAGTTATTGAAATCAATGTCATCGTAAAACCGTCTCCTCTGCAGGGGCTGGGAAATGATGCTCTGGACGACATGCTGACGCATCACCAGATGGTCAACCATGGTGTCAGAGGCGTGGAACAGCCCTAAAGCTAGAGCAGAAAAGACAATTACCGTCCCCGGCAACCTTGCGTAAATGGAACCCTGGAGGTGAAATGGTGAAAAGAGCGTGGTCAACTTGAGCACGCGTGTGGACTTTCTGGCAAACAGCTCCCCCGCAAATGAAAGGAGGAGGCAAAGCAGAGTGGAAGACGAAAGACTGATGGCGAGGTTCAGCGAAAACAGAAGTGGGAGAAGCACAGCCCCCGGCGTCAAAACTCGTGTCTGTGCAAGGACTGTCCGAAAAGCAGACACACTCCAGCCCTTGAGGCAAAGCATGCTCATGCAAAAAGGTGTTCGGTGACGACTGACAGTGTTCAAAGCAGTTGTCAGAGGTCTGCAGAGTGTCACAAGCTTTGCTAAGGTCCCTTTGGGGAAAGCAACACGGTGCGTAAGAAATGGTTTCCGTGCCGTCAGCAATCACAGGCTTGCTGACTTCAAGATACTCACAAGCAGAGAGGTGGTTCGGGTCACTCTCATGGCAAGAAGTGCCAAGCAGGCATGCAAGCTGATCTGTCAAACGCTGCATGTCACGGTGTAAGACAACGGCGTTTTCACGTAGGCAGCTGAAAGACTGAAACACTGTCGCAGTGGATTCTTGCAGAGATCTCATATCACAAGCAAAACTATCGCATCAAGGCTTCTGGTCCTTGAGGCCTCTACCTCCTGCAAGGGCCTTCAGGGGAGTGGAGCCCATGTCAGCGCTTCGCTTGCGATCGGAACTGTCGGATGCAGCGCCAAGCGAGCGAAGAGCCAGCATCACCTCGTTGTGATTGCTTTCTAGCTGATTGCCGAAGGCATCCAGACGAGCCTCCTGCTTGTTAAGGCGGCTGTGCATTGTATCAACTTCCTTTCGAAGCTGATTGACTGCAACTTTCACCTCAGCATCCTGAGTTTGGGTCTCCGGGCGATTAGCACTTGCAGGTCCTTGCTTGCCTTTACCTTTGCCAGTGCCAGTGCTCTTACTCGCGCCTTTGCCTGAGCCCATACCTCGAGACTTGAGAAAGTCACTCCACGGATCAACAGTTTCAGGCTCTTTGCTCGTCATCTGATCACGCCGCTTCGCTTTGCTGAGCTCTGCCTCCAGGCGTAGCTGCTCCTGTTTTTGCTGGAGTACCTCGGAAGGAGAAGGGAGCTTGCTTATCAAGACTTTGTAGCCATCTTCGAAAACAAGTCGCTCGGTCTTGGGCGGCTTGTCAGCTTTCACAATCCAGGTACATGTATGGCTTTGTGCCGTACGCTTGAACGGAATGATGTGCCATGCTTCCATGTTGGAGCCCTCAGAGGGATTAGCCATTACGAACGTGACGCCTTCAGCAGACATGTCTTTGGGCAGGCCTTGGACAAGGAACCTAGTGAGGCCTGCGACATGGGCATTCTGTGATTGACGGCAAGCGTTGGCTGAAGCACTTTGCGCGCTGCAGCAACATGATCTATGGAAATCCGCACACCAAGTCCCTGAGCATTGGCAACAAATCCGACGACTCCTGCTAAGGTGTTTGCGACTGTTTGCAACTCCGACAGAGACTTGAAACGGTTCGCCCACATAATGGTGATGCCATCCTCCTTTGCAGCAATCTCGCCTTTAGCCACAAACGGCCGAAAGAACAACAAAGTGTCACGCGAGTTGAGCAAGGTGCTCACCAGTTTGTCAGCGATTCGTACGCAAGCATGCAAAGAGTCGGGTGTGCATGAGAAGTTCCACATGTCTATGGTCTTTGGTTCTTGCTTAAGCAAAGTTGCCACACGCTGTCTGATCTTTTCACGCATCTGGCCTAAGGAGCTGTCAGCGCCGAGTGCACTGTTCCACTCCTCAACCACTTTTTGTATGCATGCAACCATAGCACCTTCGCACTGTCCTGAAAGGCCTTCACACTCGCTTTCAATGCAGTGGGCTTAACTGGGTTCTGGCCCAAATTGTTGGCAATCACTGCGGAGTTCGCTGCCTGGCTTAACGAACGTAGGTCATGTCCTAACTTGCCAGGAATGATCTGGGCAAGATAAGACCCTCCTTGCACTTGAAGCTTGGGCTCAAGGTTCATTGAGTTGCAAAGAGCGACTCCTTCGACACCTTGGGAAACCTGGTCAGGCCTTAGCACATTCAGCATAGCCTCAACGGGCAGCGCCAACTCATCAGGATGAAGAATTTCGATCCCTGGGCTTGTTGTAGTGCTCTCCCATCTTGTGCGCGGATTGGACTGCGCTGCAACACTAGTGTTTCCATATGTTAGGTGAGCCAAGCGGTTACGTGTCTTGCTGGACAAGTCCCAAAGTTGCGTATGTCTGAGGCTCAACACCATTGGAGCCATGCAAGCAGCGTTAGCTTAGCGTTACCCGGGCAGCCCCGCTGGGAGGTGCTGCTAGTTGACGATGTCTGCCCATCGTCAGCTGCCTAGATGCGTCCGTGCTTCAATTCGGTCTGGCGGCGGCTTTTGAAGTTCTCCACGCTGCCATCGGCGGTGAAGCCGGCTGGATCCCAGAAGTAGTAGTAGGGACGTGCCTGAACAGATGAACTTCCGCACATCTGCTCGCGGATGACGTCTCTCATCCAATACCCTGGCGTGCACGTGCAAACTTGGTAGAAACTGAAAGGCCATGCATATTCGTGTCTTGGTTTGCGTCTGAAGCTGTCATAGCTGTGACCCAGTTTGGTGGGCAAGGCTTGTCGTCTAGAGGTCGACACACAGACTTTGGAAGGTTGTTGTGTCTGTAACGCCACGCAAACGTGCGACCACACAAACGGCACCAAAGCTTACCGTATGAGTCATCTTGCTTGCATGGGCTCCCTTCCAAGCTTTCGGTTCCAAACCAAACTGTGTTTTGCGGTTTTGTACTTGTCATTCATATCGCGCTCCAGTTTGTCCAATCGAGCTGTCGCATTGATTTTGCCAGGACTGTCCATCCAAGCGCTGGGTGCGAGATTTGGAAATGGGCATTTCTTCTTCAAAATACGAAGGTTGAGATGTTCCAAACGCGATGTGCATTTGCCGCATTTAACGCAAAAAGCGCCCCCTCCATGATACCGTATCCGATGACCCAGCTGTTCTCGGTCAACAGATTGTGGATGCGCCGGTGCACTGCTGGATGACGGTTGCGAAGGTGGCAAACTTGCTTGACTCCCAGAAGGCAATTCATGACCTTGTCTATTGTCTGGTGCGGGAGGATCTTGCTCATCAGGTGGAGCTTGATCAATAATGTCCGTGTCGTGCCACTCCCTGATGTGCTTTTTCCAAATATCAATGAGCACGCCGTGGACCTTTTTGATCTCTTTGAGCGTGAATGACATATTTGTTGTGGGTATGGCCGCATAACGAAAGCATTGAGGGCTGCGTGAAATGCGTTGTCGTAGATGCTGGATTGGAGCCCTTTGAGCGCTATAGCGCTTGCAATTCCAGTGAATGTGCAATACTTCGTTGGGGACTTTACATACTGGACAAAGCACAGATTGTTGTTGTCTATGACGACCATCGCGTGAAGGACACATGAGGCCACCTGTCAAAATGTAAATGAGGATTTTGCTTCGTGGTCTAGGGTCTTTTTCAAAGTGGGGGCCCGGAATGCCGTGATCAAGTAGAAGCTGCAAGCCATGGATTGCATGTGTAGATCATGAAGAAGAGCTGTAGCTTTTGTTCTGTCCGCCCGCTCAATGCCTTGGAAATCTTGACGTGAATGTGGTAT